TCCGTTCGGCGGTGTGCCTCTTAAAGGCGCCGTCGTCTGTAAATAGCATTTTTTATAGAATGTAAGAGGAGACACAAATTCATCTATGCAATTCGCCATCAATGTAGCTGGTGTTTCATTATATCCACAAGTGTTAAAAAAAGTTGACCTCTTAACTTTTGCTTCCGTGACTATATCTGAATAAAATGTGTTTTCTAATGTTTGTGTATTGGGGTTATGACGATTTTTGTTATTTTTATCTTACCGATACTTGTATAATACTGATTGAACATATAAGCTACTGTCTTCGGACACGATATTATTTAAGTATGGTTACTTCATTTTATGTTTTGTTGTGTATGGTTAGTTACTTGTTTCGTTTTTTCATTTATTATACACCACATTGTTTTGTACTTATTTTTCGATGTTGTAACTTTATTTATGAAAGTTTCGTTTTGTTGTTGCAATTATTTTTTCAGTATTTTGCTGTATAGTTTTTAATATACTTTCAAAATGTTATTGAATTTAATTGTTAGACTACGTTGTAAACGCTTGTTGTAGCAACATTTTTTAATTCCCTTAATGATCCATTACGTTTATTTTTTATTTTTCAATTTTTTTTTTCTTTGTGGTAATAGTAGATTATGCACCAAGGGGATAAAGCAGTGTCTTGCGTCACGGGCAGCATATTGGATCCTGAGCGTAACGAGGGACTCTAGAGTTAACTCCCGAGCGTAACGAGGGAGTTATGTAGAGACCTGAGTGAAGCTAAAATTAGCTGATTTTCAGGTCGCTGCTACGCACTGACGGCTGATTAAGAGAGCGTTTAGGCGATAAGCAGCCTTGGTATGCCACCAAAAAATAATTAAATCAATGACAGCTCTTTTCTGTTTGATACAAAATATTTATAGTCCAGTCACCGTTGACAAAAATCGCGTTGTTAGGATACTTACCTGTAGAAAATAACTATAGAAAAAACACGAGAGAATTTTCTTAAAATGTAGCTAAAATTACCTCTTTCCTAACGGAATGTTCTCCACATTTAGTTGCAAAGATTTGATTCATGAACAGCTGAACTTGCTGGTAAATGAGGACAACAGGCACAATATATTATTATGTTTTTTATATAACTATTTATTTTTGATCAACATCATGTGCACGACACACCTGTCTGTCTGTCTTCTCTCGCCCGACTACTCATTCATAACAAGTTTTTTGCTTACGCGCTTCAGGATGATTGAAGTATATTGATTTTCATTTTCATTTCATAGATCACTCACATGTTGCTTTGATTAAAGCTTGGATTTTTATCTAGAAAAATATTATTTAACTTAAATTTGTAGTCTTTTTCACTATTTATTAGATATTCTTGGAATGATACAGCATTAGATATAGGTTTAAGAATTTTTCTTTTTATCAGATTTCGTGTTTGTATGTTATCATTTGGGTAAGTAATGATTTCATGAGCATATTTTCTTTTAATATAGCGTATTTTACTTTTTATCACTGCCGTGTATAGGGAGAATATTACAAAATTTAAAGAATCCTTCCTACCTTTAAGTTTAAAAAGTTCTACGGTAACAAGTTAGTCCATATGAGTATATCGGTTCAACGATTGGGATTTTATATTTAATAATTTGGAATTTGGAAAGCATTATTCGCATATTGGTACATATTGATTCTATGTATTGTACCCGATTAAATTTATCATCTATGGTGAGCTCCAGATATTTTTGTTGATTTACTTGTTCAATTTGCTTGCAACTACATGACACTACAGTTTTGCATATAGTCGTGATTATGGACAATTATACCTTCTTGTTTTCCGCGGTTATGAAAAGAGTGAATATGTATTAATTTTGTCTTCTGTGCATTTAAAACCAATCCCATATCGTATGACTTTTTTTAATGGGGTCATATCGTTTTATAGCATTTGCCGAGCAGTTTGTATATAGTGGTTTGCCGCTATGAAACAAGTGTCGCCATCGAATTGGTACACACTGCATTTTGTTATCAAACTATTTAAATCATTCACATATGATGATCCCTGAGCGGTTCTTTTGAAATATGTTTCAGATTCAATGACCTTATTCTATCCATACCAGGAGATTTCTTATAATGTTTTTTTGCAGTATACCATAAATTATGCTATTCGTCGCTGATTCAAAACGCATAGAAACATTTTTAAATTTATTATATTGTTTTGGATCTAGCAAGTAGCTTTTACAATTAGGAAGTATATCACTGTCGTTTTGCTGAAAGTTTTCTTGAGTCTACCCGAGTCAAAGTTATATATTCTACCCTGGTAAACTTATATCTGTCGTGTAATTTAAAATGGAACGATATTTTACTCCAAAACATGGCTACTAAGGAGGGAATTTATTTAAATTTGGATCAAATAAACACTTTAACGCGGGAACACTTTAACAAGAGTTTTATTTAAATTTGGATAATCAATAATCAAAATCATTTATTCAGTTTAGGCTGTTACAAGCACATATGAATATCTAGAAGCTACGCCATCGGTTCGTAAATCTACGGCGGGAGACCTTGTACTGAGAAGAACCGGCAAGAAACTCAGCAAGGGCTGTTTTTTTCTCCCTGTTTTATCATTTACAGAGTCGTCAAGTTGAAAAATGACTTCAGAGATGATTCATGAAGTCACCCTTCATTACATAATGTGAAATTATACATTAATTGTACACCTGCATTTTGATTGCTGTGTCACACAGTATAAATACAAACAGAGTTATTTATAATAGGTGTAATTAAACATTTATATCTTAAATATCAAAGTAGTTAGGGCAGACTCATCTCCGCTGGCAGCACCCGTTCACGAGCATGACGCATGAACCAGCCATCGCTTCGCTCAACCATATTTTAGGGAACGTAACGACCCGCCTCACACGACACCACCGAAGAGACTTTTAAGAGAGCATGACTACCCATAACCACCTATATCAACCACAACATATTTACTTAAACTTAAAGTCATTTATCTGTAGGACACTGCAAACAATTACAAAGCAAAAACAATGGAGAAATCATGACCACGCCGTTTTGTCATTCAAATCTTCTTGAATAGTCTGATATTCTTCCTTACGTAATCAGCTTTAAATACAGCTTTTCAATAAAAGTATCATCAACACATGATCCATAATATATATCATATAGAAATACCCGTTGGAATGGTTGGAACAGTTCAAATAAACACTTTAACTAATTAAAACTTTATTTGAGAAAAGTACTATACAAGCCTTGGCCATAACTAGGCATTGATGTACTTACGTATGTTTACATGTTTGTCCATCAATGCCTCTTTTGCGGGCCGCTGCAGTAATGTACTATAACTTGCCAAGAGTAAGTCTAATATTACTTTTTTTTTGTAGGTATCGTACAAAAAATCGTATTATTATAGATATTTCAATTCGGGTTACAGAAATATTTGAAGCAATGATAATATAACCCCATTCTTTTGAGATATTGCCACTGCATGGTGTCTGGGGTTTGGCGCCTATGGCATCGTTGGCTGCTGCTTTTTGTTGCTCCAAGGATGTATAGCGCTTGCAGTCAGTGCTCTTGGCCATTTGCCACATGAAAAAGGTTGTTCCAAGATTATTTATTACCATTCCACGAAGTAGGTTAAATAAATATAGCATTGTTTCTTTACTGAGACTGTACGAAAAATTACAACAATAATAAATCAGGTTAAATATCTAACAATAGTAAAATCTGGTAATCAAAGAGGTAGTAAAGAGAACGAGTTTGTAATTAGTAGTGAATATAGTGTTAATTTACTATGGTTATCAAATCGGAAAATCCACTATGATATCTTTATTTTGGAGTTCAACGATACTACCGAAATCCACAAAGATGTATTTTTCCGTTAAAAATAACCGTTTGAAGAAAATAATCATGAGTAAGGATGATGAACGATATTCATTAAGGATATCTTAGAAGTAACTATTTATCATTTAGCCTTTATTTGGTTTGGACTTTACTCAGTTTTATCTAAATCATTATAGTACTTACCTAAAGTAAAAAATATGTGAAACTAGCGGCCGCCCGAGACTTCGTCCGTGTTAACTTTAGTTTTTTTGAAAAACCCACAGGAACACGGAACTTTTTCGGGATAAAAAGGATCCTAAGTCTCAATCCAGGTCATATTCTACATGCGTAGTTGCCTAATTTCATTCCAATCAGTTCAGTACTTTTTTGCGTGATTGAGTCACAAACATACATACATACAAAATTAAAATATTTTTTAAGTAGGATCATGGACGAGAAAACATTAATGACTGTCAAAGATAATTATGCCTATTTAAGAAATCAATCTCGAAAAACGTTTTGGTAGCGGTAGGTATGAACAGCTGCATCACTCAAAACGATTCGTATATACATTACTTTAAGGGAGCAGTTAGAACGTCTCAAGTTAAAGTAGCGCATTATGACTAACGAAAAAAGAGTTAAGAGCAGAAAGGCTGGTTCGTTTACACTCATATACTACACAATATTCACGGAGCAATAATCGGACCCAGCGTAATGTGATAAGAGAATAAATGTAATAAGAGAATATAGGATTACAATGTTAGGGTAAATAGTGCGCTGCCCAGAAACACTAAGTTACTCTCGATAACGAAAGTGGAAAATAAAATGGTCGAATATTGGGTTTAGTAAGCTATGGAAACCGCTTACCATCAGGCGAGCCGAATGCTTGTTTGCCACCGTTTCCTTCCATGTCTAGAAAATGCGTACCCGAAATCCTTGCCCACCCGGGAGAAAAGTGAACAGGGCTCCGAAGGCTTCTCCCTGTCATTTCATCTAGCTCGTGGGTTCGATGGAATGACAGGGCCCTATCCTGTAAAAACCAGATAGTACTCCTGCACCGGTCACCTGACTCGTACTATGAGGACCGAGGTCCCCCGAATGCGGGCGTTGTGGCACCCCTTAGAACTGGCCATGCTCGTTTGCCACCTAAGTTGAATTAAAAAAAGTAAATAGGTAAGGGTGCAGATACTTACCACTTTCTCTTCCAGTATATCATTATTGTTGTTGTTGCTCCCATATTTTAAGGCACCGTTTTCCATGACCACAACTGATCGTCGGGTTTGCGTTGATTATGTTTTTTCACATATGTTTTAAATTATTTCCTCATTGTTATCATTTAAATTCATCTTTTATTACAGTTTAAATCACTCTAAACAAAATCCCCTTAAAATAACTTAAATAGATGTTATAATGGTTGTAACTAAAGAAGATACATTTGTACTTATACCGTTAGACGAGTGTGAAATTATGTATGTATCGAATGATAGTCTGACCAAAGTATCATATGTGCTAAACAAGAACCTATTGTAGGCATTTAGGTCGGCGACAATTTAAAATTACTAAAATATTGATTGTTCGTAGTCATAACGTCGCGGCAATAATACAGAATAGCTGACACAAGTCGGTTTATTAAGCTACCTTAAGGTTTCAATTCTGAGTAACATTTTCTAGAGTACCTGACCGTACCATGCACGTTACAGTAAAGATAAAAATAAGTAAAGTCATGGTTTTCCCATCCCAAAAGTCACTATTTAGATTATTGAGCGGAAAAGAATCAAATCCTTTATGTATTATCTGGAATTGCATCTCTGAATGCACCCACTAACAATCAACTTTTGCTTTACTTATTTAGCTCACATACAAGTATTGTCTAATCTCTCGAAACTTTCGAATCAAGTAACATTAAGATAAGAAGGAGTTACAATTATGTAATTATAATAAGTGACCGTTGCTACGTTACTTTTCTTTGTAAACACATTTCTTTGTTCGATTATTATTCACGTCGTTTTACTCGCAATATTTAACAACTTTCAAGTGAGCTACGAGATTCGTTTTATGAATTTTAATCAGCATATTGTTTTGTTGTCACTGGCACTGCACTGGCGGATGTGAAAGTTTCGAGTGTCGTCGTGTTAGGCGCGGGGAGTAGGATGTGAACGGGCATTCGGGCATGCGGGGATGTCCTCGAGTAGGGGCATGGTGCAGCCGGGCGGGCGGCGCGAGGGCGGCGGAACACTGCGGCGCGGCGGGCGGCGGGCGCGGGCGCGGGTGCGGGCGCAGCGCGGGCATTCTCGTGCCTCCCGCCGGCCGCCGTCCTCCGCCGCACACCATCGCACCACGCACCATCATTTATTATTGACAGAGGACCTTGGTCTATTTACTAATTTTCTTTCTTCTTTGCATACTGAGGTTTAGTGGGTCAATGGCTAGTTGGTGTTACGTGAACGCTCGATATGCTGACTATATGCACTGAAAATTTGATGGTGATATGGCTGTTAAACTACTAATACCCCAAATATGATTAAATAGTTAACACCTCTTGTAAACGTTGCCTGCGTACATTAACTACAGTTATAACGACATACGGGGTCACATTGACTATGTAGATAACTTATTGTTCGCTCAGCGTGACTATCACATTTATTTTCTTCGTGTTACTACGATTTAAAAACGTAAAGATTAATGACACCGAAACCACTGTTTATTCCATCATGATTTTATTATAATTTGCCGGCTTGAGAAAGAACTGGAAAAAAAACTTTATTCCAAGATACTTATATACTTGTAAACCAGCAACGTTCGTTGTTGTATGGCAACTATATTTAATAGATATTAAATACAGCATGATTGGAGGGTAAAAAAAGAAACAGTTGCTCATATTAATAGTACTGAATAACAATGATATCGTATTTCTCTTGTTCTTTTTTCATATTTCTGGAGCAAAAAAAGAAACTATTCACATAATTTCTACAAATATACCAAAAATTAAGGTCAACCTAAAACCTATTGGATATTAAGGAAATGAATGCTACGGCAACCACTATCATTCTTGTCTTGAGCCATTCAGCTAATCGTATTAACGGCATCTAATCGCAGTGACGTCTGTGAACTACCTATTAATTTATTGATTTACTTCTTGACTCGTTTGTAAAAAATAAACTTGGCAAATAATCGTTTTTAAACGTTACAAAACCTTTTTTTATTTTATCCTGTAAACAGTTGAGTCATGGTTACTGCTCAGTGCAGTTTGATTTTAATAAAGCTTTTAATACATTTCAGTGACAGCATTCATTTAAGTGCAACGGTATCGCAAGTATTTACTACTAAATTTTAGGCTACTAGCGGCCGCCAGCGACTTCGTCTGCGTAAACTGTTTTTTTAAACCCACAAGAACCTGTCATTTTTCCGAGATAAAAAGTATCCTTCGTCTCAATCCAGGACATAAACTATATGCGTACCATACGAATATTTCCGTTCAGGTGTTTTTGCGTGATTGAGTAACAAACATACAAACACACTAATAAACATTTACAATATAATATTAGTAGGGTAACAGGGTTGTAGCCGTTTATTATTACACCTATATGCTTGTTTTCGTATTTTATGCACATTGTGTTGAGGTTACATTGTACTTATATATTTATTTATGATTTTGTGTAAATAACGTATTGTTCGCTAGAATGTATGAATTGAAGTGTACTACGATATATAGCTGTTCTTCCAAATACTGCTAGAAAATTAAAGTAAATAAAGTCGTTCATTACTGGTATGTTAAGTTTCACTTGATTTCAAAAGAAAGTATTGAATTTGATTTATGAGTAGGTATGTAGTTACCCTATATCATAAACGTCATCGAGTCACGTCTGTTGTTGACGTATATTACTACGTCATTCATGTGACGGGCTTTCACAAAACATGGTAGCGGGCATTGTTTGCGAACGAACCATCGGGACGAGTAAGGTTGGGCTGACTTGCAATTTCTGTGATATTGTATTGGCAGAGGACGACATAATGTTTGATTTATATAGACTATCCGATCTTGCGCGCATAGGACGTATTATAACGGCTTTTGATAAGTTAAAAATATTTCGGCCTTTTGTCTTTTCTTTAATTTTTAAGTCATCTCAATAGCCAATGGATCAAGTAGCTTATTAGTTTGGTAAAACAGTTTTGTTTTATTATTACATATTGCCTGATGATAATATCAGATCGTCTGGTTTGTAATCGCCTTTGACACTTTTCGTTGTCATGCTAGCACTTCTTGGCTATTAATATTTGCTTTTTTCCTAATTTCGGATCGAATCGAATTGCCAAGCTGAAGTGGCAATGGGCGGGGCAGGCCGTAGAAATAATGGAGGTTGGGGTACCAAGGTGTTTCAATGGCGACTTCGCACCGGGAAGCGCATCGTCGCTAGACCTCGCACCAGATGGACTGACGAAATCAAGCGAGGGAATGAGAGTAGAGGGACCCTCTTAGGGCCTAAGAGATTTCCATGTTATGTTAATTAGAGAGCAGTATATCATTATTACGCTCTTTAAGGAATGGGAAGGAGACTGCTGTCAAATTTATAAATATCAATACTACTACAATTTATAGTGTCACAAGCACAGACACAGCTATTGGTGACAGTAAATATATGATGGGATAGCTCATACTGAGAAGAAGAACTGGACAGAAACTTTTAATTGGTAAATAACAAGAAAAGAGACTTCATCATTATCAGCCTATCAAATATCCTTACTGATGCACAGGTCTTCCTATGATGGATTGAAAGGGAGAAAGGGCCATGACCCACAGCCCCTAAGCTAAGCTGCGGACGAAAGGACAGATAGCGAAACACAAGGTTCCTTTTTGACTTGCAACTCTAAAAAAAGTATAGTAGCATAGTGCAGACATTAGTTTGTTAGTTTGCCCTCACTCGCAGCACCAATCCGCGAGCATGACGCATGAACTTCGCCATCTCTTCGTTCAACTCATATTATGAAACGACCGCCTCATACGACCCCACTCATAGATTTTTAAGAAATTACGACAATCCCCAAACAATTCTAGAGCACAAATATTGTAATCTTTGAGTAATATTTCAATTGAATATTTCAAGTTGTGTAATTTTTCTTTGTCATTCTGTGCATATGCGAAGATCGCGAAAATATATGAATTGTATTACTATAATGCGATAACAAGTTATGTGATAAACGTGCTTGCGATATTATAGGTAACGTCAGACTCAGCTGACAATCGAAGAAAATAATACTTTATTGCATATTAGAGTCTATAATTCCATGTTTTGTTTTTAGATTCAATGGAATTATACTAATATTTATTACTATTTGTGACGGCTATAAACTGCGAATAATACGTATAACGATGATTTGCAAAAATTGCTTTTGAGATTTTATAGAATAGAGGTATTTGGTAGGTACCTAAATACTACAATTACCTATACGATTAAGAAAATACAAATAAGCTTAAAAATATAATCCGGTTAATTACTCGTCGTTTACTTGATAAAAAATTAATTAACAAAATCGATCTATAAAATATTTTTGAGAATGCATTTTTAGTGACGTCACTGGTAAACTAAAAAATGATTTTAGAATTCAGTTCAAATCGTTTATTTTTTAAAACTTAATTATTGTGTTTTCATGCAATTGAAAGGGCATATTTAAGTTATCCATAGAAGCCTGCTGCGGTTAGACTTTGACCTTTGTATATATTCTACAAGCAAATCTCTTTCGTGTTGGGGCTCGGATTCTAGAGAATACAATGGCCATGAACATTCCAAACTGATTTCGTGACTTTGATCTTCTTCGGACGAGCGTGCGACGGACTGCAGTGCTCCTGGTTTATATATTTAAAACAATAGCCTCATAATATATCTAAGCCACTGGCTGTAAACCAGCGTCCGGCATTCTGTGTCATGGCATGTGCTGAGCTGGTGACTTTTTTGCCACTGTAACACTATTTTTTTAGACTGATGCTTCGTTTGTAGGTTGTAGTTTACTACAGTTGAAAAACAAATATGCTTTCTTATTTATTGTTTCTGGAATGGTGAGATCGAAAACACTACTAGGGTTTTCATCTCAAGGCTCCGAAAATTCTTTTCAAACATTAATTTCGAGGAGCTCCATGGCGCAGGTTAGTAGCTAGTGTATTCGACCTGCGATCGTAAAATTTAAGCAACTTTCGCAATGATCGGCCAGTAAATGGGTGTGCAAAAACTTATTATCTTGAGCTCCGGACGACACGTTAAGCTGTTGGTCCCGGCTACATTCGTTAGTACCCATTAATCCACACTGGGCTCGTGTGGTGGGTGATGGCCCAGTCTTCCTATTCCATTAATAGGAAAGGCCTGTGCCCCTGCAGTGAGGACATTAATAGGCTGATGATGATTAATTTCCCTCTTTGTTTCTGCGATGATGCTGCTCACTGACTTTTGAGAGGTTCAAAAAGTATTGAATGTATGGCAGCTACGGATTTCTTGGTCATCTCTGCTAACGAACAGATTTTTATATGAGCATCTTTGAGTACAAATACTCGACCTTTCCTTTTTTTGGAAATAACTATCTCTAAAATAATTTTAAACTACTAATCTTGGCTTCATCTTCATTTTTTACACAGTTAATAGATTTGAATGAATGATCAGTGTACCAATGATCTCATTCTGAATTATGTAGTTTAAGTCATCTACATCTTAATTCTTTGCCGCCAAAATTGCTCGCTCACTTACCCATTCATTATTTTTATGGTTAATAGTGATGTTTGGGAATACTTTGTTGATGAGTTCATCTTTCGATGAGACAAAGTTACAGCAAGCTGAGAAAATGAAACTCGACCATTATCGATCAAAATCTTCAGCAGATGTATCTTCCAGCAATGCAACTCTCATGTTAATCTCAGCAGAAGTTTCTTCACTTAGCGCCATAGATTCGATGATTTGAGGCAAGCGTTTATTTCGGCGGCAGCAGTTGATTAATTGATTTGATGAATTGTTGATTATGCAATATAACATGTCGGTTCTTTAATAGTTTGAAGATTTAATAGCAATTTAATGCAGAATGAGCCGTACGGCATCCTTCCAACAATGTGGCTGCTATTCCAGAAGAAGCAACTGCAACGGCAATGCCGGATCTCGCACGAACAGTGCCTAAAACTACTGACATGAGGAATGTCTTACCAGTCCAGTCCAGTACCATCATCAATTGCCTCCATGATAGTATCATAACTTCCATTTGTTGGGGATTTCTTATTAAGGGTAACACCTATCTTGCTGTCAGCCATTCGGTTTCTGACATTTCAATATCGATTGCTGTACCGGCCGTGCACTCCCTCACTCTCCGGGTGTACAGCAATTTTTCGATTATGTCAAAGCGAAAAAATAGTGAATAATTTGACTTAAAATTATTGAATTACCTATGTATATAATTGAATATATAAACTTTTTTTTAAAGGAAAACAAAGAAAACCTGAAAGGCTTATTGGCACATACTATTTCCTATAAAATTGAAAAATCACAATGCAATCTTACTCAAGATCTATTTAATTATATGTAAAAATATTGCCTTTATGTATAAAACGAATTTATCTGGTATTTCCTTATCACATATATAAATTGTGATATATCTCTTAATTTTATTTTGCGATATAATTTTTATCTACCTCATAATCTGACTTAATATCTAACACGCCAACATGGGCCCAAGGTGATCTGATGATGATGATGTTTGCGTTTGTTATTTATTTGTTTTTATTTGGCCCTTTTTACGAAATGATAGTGAAGTGTGAATCCGGCTGACTAATATTATTTCTTCATATTTATATGCAAGTGAATTGCAATGTACATTATAATATGTAATAATAATAGTAGCAGATTGATTGAAACGCCAGGCAGTGCTCATCGATATCACCATCCCACATGACGAGAACCTCGTAAAGGCCGAGAAGGACAAGCTCAGTAAGTACCTGGACTTGGCCCACAAGGTAACCGCTTTGTGGGATGTGGATTCGACGATCATAGTTGTTAGTGTGAACGGTCTCATAGCGAAGAGTCTCGACCAATATCTAAAGAGCCTCTCGCTAGATGGTTGGGTCAAGGGGCAGATGCAAAAGGCAGTACTCCTGGACACAGCGAGCATCGTCAGGCGGTTTCTCTCTCTGCGGCCCTAACCACCGGTAGCTTGGACCTAGTCCCGCTGCTGGTGGCCTTCTAGGTTATGTTTTTTATATGTCATTTATTTTTTACTAGAGGTCGCCCGCGACTTCGTCTGCGTTAACTTAGTTTCTTGAAAATCCCTCTGGAACCTAACAGTTTTTCGGGATAAAAGTAGCCTATGTATTAATCTAGGGTGTCAGCTAACTCCATACCAAATTTTATTAAAATCGCTCCAGCCATTTAGACGTGAAGAAATAACAAACATACACACTCACATACTCACACACTCACAAACTTTCGCCTTTATAATATTAGTGTGATTTACGTTTTTGTACAACTTTTATATCTATTTTATAAAAAACCTAACTGTTAAATTAAATTAAATAAATGAGAATAATAATAGTAATTAATATTAATAATGAATATACTTCTTTTGATGTTTATTATTTTAGATTCCTCATATCTTGTGTAGGTGTGTGGATATTATAATGAAACAGCGATTTAATTTATTTATTTTGTATCAATTACTTGTTTTTTGGTCGGTTTTATAAGCTGCATCCCAAACTTCGATTAAAAAGATTGTGTGGTTTGATCAAGAGGTTTTTAATATTTGATTTTACGCGCTAGTTACTCGGATTTGTAATGTAGAAAAACCCTACCCAAAAAAAAACTGAATTGAAAATGTCATGTAGCTACAGTGACCTAAATTACAAACTATTAGTTCTGCTATTTTGTTAGGAATAGAACTAGATACATCTGAACTGAATAGTAAATCTACAAAAATATTAAACAAAATTTCCAAAGGAGTAACTCTTCCAATTTTGTCAGAT